CCAGCCTCGTACCTACCTAACATTAGGTTCTCCGTTAAAATCATGCCATGTGTCCCAAAATTTAATTAATTAATAAAATAATTAAAAAACAAGCTTGGATAAATAATAAAGTACCCTTACTTAAAAAAAATTGTAAACTAAGGTGATTAACTATTATGATATTATTATTAGACCCTAATGACATGTACATATTCCAATTAGGCAACAAACTGAAATCAAATTGCATTCTATCTTCAACACAATCAATCATCTTCATCTTCAACACAATTATTTTATGACGCATAAAAAAAAAAAAAGATCTTTCTTCCCCGTCGAAGTGAAAAGCTTGCTTTGAATGATTCTGTATTCAATCATTAATCGGCATCATGAAAACAAAATTTATGATGAATTAGATGAGCCGATCTTCAAATAAAGTCCGGGTAAGTGTTATTTGGTTTGCTTATGCTTCATATTCTGAATTCTGAAATCAAATTGTCAATCAATTCTGAAATCATATTCTGAAATCATATTAATAACGATTTGATGATATATTGAATATCCCTTTCCAAAACGATCGGTGATATTTATTTAAGGCTGATAAAAATCGATAAATTGAGGTAAATATTTTGAATGTCAATCGCATTCTGTATTGCCCGTATTTATCCGATATGTTCATTAGCAATATTACTAATTAATAATGTGTTCGAAATTTGATGTGCTGCTATTCCTTCATCTGGCTATGCAAATTATGTTGGCTAGCAATGAAATATTTTATGTGAGTGTGCGGTTGATTTAATTGATTACATTGTTGTATTTGTTCTTTTATTTAATAGGCACTGTACATGCTCGACGAAATGTATGAATGAGGATGATGACCCTGTTTTTATCTTGTTGTGTTGGTGTTGTGCAATGATTTGAGATCTTTGTTGAAGTCATGACGAGTGTCAGTATTTGCCCGTTGAAGATCAATGACGCATGCAACCATACATATAATATGAATGCTTATTTAAAACATTGCAATTGTTTTGCTGTAGTTTGCTTAAATATTTGATAAAAAGATTGGCGCTTGTATTGCTGAGCATTTGTACAATTCAATTGCTCTGAAAATGTGTTATGTTACTATTTGCAACGAGTAATAAATGTATATTTCATCAATTTTGAATAGGCAATGTAGATAGCAGCTGTGAGATGGTATCTTTTGAAAGGAGTGCAATCTGGTTGGAATGATATTTGGTGCATATTGAACTATAAGAATCCGGTGGCCAAATTCAATAACAAGCAGATAGTTGGAGCCGGTACCAATGTTGTTGTGGGGCTTCGTTTCTTTTGTAGAAAGTGTTTTGATGTATTGTATACATTGGTAAACTATAAAAACGCACACGATTGAAGTTGAACTTCTGTTTTGGACTTTTGATGTATTCCCTATCAGTTGTTTAATATATTGTCATAATGAACTTCATGAAGATATAAGTTCAATTAAAAAAAAATTGTTGTTGGTTTGCCTCGGTTATGAGGAAGAAGGATGTTTGACATGCGGCAGTAAAGATAAGCGGAAAAACAAACACATCAAACATTAAACTTGTAACACGAAAAACCGACCACTTTGGCTCAAACAAGAAACACGTATTTTGATCAAGAAACCCGTTTATTTCTCAAGAAATCGTTTTCTTGTTCAAGAAACTCGTTTTTGTTCAAGAAACCAGTTTCTTGAACAACAAACTGTGGTTTTGTTCAACAAAATTGTTTTTTGTTCAAGAAATAGTTTATTGGTCAAGAAACTCATTTTTTGTTCAAGAAATTGTTTTTTGTTCAAGAAACCCGTTTATTTGTAAAGAAACAGGTATATTGAGCAAAAAACAGGTTTCTTGTTCAAGAAATTTGTTTCTTGTTCAAGAAACTCATTTTTTGTTCAAGAAACTCGTTTATTTGTAAAGAAACTAGTTTCTTGAGCAAAAAAGGGTTTTTTTGTTCAAGAAACCCGTTTATTTGTTCAAGAAACCCGTTTATTTCTCAAGAAACTAGTTTCTTGAGCAAAAAAAGGGTTTCTTCTTCAAGAAACTCGTTTCTTGTTCAAGAAACTAATTGTTTGTTCAAGAAACCCGTTTATTTCTCAAGAAACTAGTTTCTTGAGCAAAAAACGGGTTTCTTGTTCAAGAAACGAGTTTTTGTTCATGAAACCCGTTTATTTCTCAAGAAACTAGTTTCTTGAGCAAAAAACGGGTTACTTGTTCAAGAAACTCGTTTCTTGTTCAAGAAACTCATTTTTTGTTCAAGAAACCCGTTTATTTGTAAAGAAACTAGCTTCTTGAGCAAAAAAAAGGGTTTCTTGTTCAAGAAACTCATTTTTTGTTCAAGAAACCCGTTTATTTGTAAAGAAACTAGTTTCTTGAGCAAAAAAAGGGTTTCTTGTTCAAGAAACTCATTTTTTGTTC